AAGTTTAATATATTTTGCGTCGAAGGTATTTTACACTACGGGCCAGATCCTCAGCCGGTGTAAATTGCATAGCTTGATTCTATATAGGTTCTTACACCACACTCATCACAGCAGAATCTGAATTCCTATTGACTCCAATTCATATACACCAGCAGCAGATTTGGCCCATGTTTGTAATGGAGCAATAATGTGTAAAATTAAAGCCCTACATTATCTGGAACATGCATGAATTAAATTACAACCAGCAGTGACATTCCTACTCTGAATTCAGTAAAATCAATAACATTGTTCACATGCACACAGTAAGTACTCCTGTGAACATTTGTAATGATTGTTTTCGAGGAGGCTACATGACTTTAGTGACTATTTTAGTGTCGTCTATCTTTTGGGGAGCTCCTTATTTTGCCAGTAGTATAATCTTTGTGATCAGCAGCAAGTAAGGTTTGAAAAGGATCCCCCTAAGCAAATGCATTTGGTTCTGAAATACAGACGGGGGTATTTTCTTTGTATCTCTGTGCTTTCGCTGAACTCTTGTAAACTGCAGCAGTATCTTCAGTGGGCTCCCAAGTTCCCTGACAATGCTATAAATTTCATTAGGAAGATGAAGTCCTACAGTGCAATTAACTCCAAAAGTGGTACAAAGCAATAGCTTGGAGATACTGGCCTACAGTACTTAGCACTTAACTCTGAAATTCAGATAAGCCCTATCAACTCAGGGTTGTGTTTAATGTTCACTCCTGCTTATATACCGCAGACACAACCTAGCGGTCACAGTGTTAACACTCCCCAATATCTATTACAATTAGTTTTTGATTAAGAGGCCTAGCATGGCTTTTGAAGCCTTTTATGTTGTGTCAAATGGCTAGTGATGGAGTGAGATGCACAGACACCTCCCAGTAACAAAGCATCTTGTAAAAGGTTTCAAGTGAACTATTTTATCATCCTAATGGAAACCAGATGACTCTAACTCCCCCTTTAATTTCAACTATTTACTGAAGAGTCCTTGTTTTGAATTACTTAAAGATTTATTCTAAACCACTATCTCATGCATTAAGAATCACTAATGACAAAGCCATTTCAAGTGGAGCAAAGCTTTTAAAGACAACTGTGACTATGCCAATGCATTTTATTCTTAAGCGTATACCACTTTGTAATGCCTTTGCATTTTTATATCTCTGCTTAAATTTTCTTTCTGATTATCACGAACACAGCTTGTATTCAAACATTTTGACGCTGTAGTGGAGCGTCTAGTTGTGATGGTGATAGTCAGTGGTTTTATTCCACATTAGGATAATTGATGACCACAATTTGGGCCTGATCCTCCACGTTGGGCCTGATCCTTATCATAGACTCATAGAATCATAGAATATCAGGGTTGGAAGGGACCTCAGGAAGTCATCTAGCCCAACCCCCCGCTCAAAGCAAGACCAATCCCCACCTAAATCAACGAAGGGTATGTCCAGATTACCCGCCGTATCGGCGGGTAGCAATCGATTTATCGGGGATCAATATATCGCGTCTCGTTAAGACGCGATATATCGATCCCCGAACGCACTCCCCATCGACTCTGGAACTCCACCAGAGCGAGCAGCGGTAGCGGAGTCAATGGGGGAGCCGCGGCCGTCGATCCCGCGCCGTGAGGACCCAAGATAAATCGATCTAAGATATTTCGACTTCAGCTACGCTATTCACGTAGCTGAAGTTGCGTATCTTAGATCGATACCCCCCTCCCCAGTGTAGACCAGCCCCAAGAGTATCAGAGTAACCATTGTTGACTTCAGGAGAATGAGAAAGGGCTGCAGGATGAAGCGTGTAGAGGAAAATGCTGTTCTCGGTACACAGTTCAATTATTTCAACTGAGCAGCGAGATCTTAGGAGGAAAACCTTGGCCACACTGTGTTGGTTACTCCATCGTAATGGCTGGCATTAGCTCCCAGGGTTCTAGCGTTCCCCATCTGGAGATGGAAGGACTTCAGGGTGGATCACCTATCGCTGCCCCTATTCCTCTCTGGCCTATTCTTTCCCTTGGCCCAAGTCATTCCGCACCTTGCTGCACCGGGAGTCATCAGAGACGTGGGCTCTGCCTCCCGGCTTGTGCAGCAGAACTCCACCATTTCCATTCAGCCTCCCCCACACAAAGAGCAAGGCTCCCCCGCATGAGCTAGGTCATGAACTGTTTATCATGATGTCACGTAACACTGTTATTTACATCTGTGTCAGTATTTTATCATGCGTATTCTCCCGTTCTCTGTGGACTGGCCTTCTAAGATATTCCAAGCAATACAGCTAAAATATTTTGTACTCAGTAACCCTATTTGTGTCAAACAGTAAAAGATTTCTATATATTGAAATAGTATTATGGTGCTGAATGGTATTAAAAAATAACATGGATAGTTTAATGAATATGGAAAATTGTAGCTAAATTAATATCGAAAGAAACACTTGTGTCAGGAAAGAAAGAGGGAAAGAAATAAAGCTTTAAGCATGTAGGAATAGGTCATGTATTAAAGTATAACCATTAAAAATGTTTTGAGAAACCAATGATTACTCTGAATAAACAGAAGGCATTGTGCTTTATTTATAAAAAACACCCAGCAAATATTGACTTCTCTTGAGGTGGATATCAAGATTTATTGACCCTTTGGGACAATGAATCTTCAGAGTTACAGAAACAAGTAGTCAATATGTATTGTTATGAAACAGTCATTGCAAATGTTTTCACTGTAAATCTCTCCATTCGGGTGATGGATTTCAAAAGTCTGACTATTTTCCCTTTGAAACCAACATCCTATAATATGTGGAGATGTACTTTAGCGGTACAGGAAAAACAAAGAAACATCTGTTCACGTCCTGCAAGGGGACAAATAACTGCTGCCAATTAGGATGCCATTATTTATATATGTGATCTTATTGGCTCATCAAAAATAAATAATATTTGTCATCACCAAACTCAGAAGCATATACGTTAATTTCTACAGATGATCTAATTGCGTGATACTGTTCCATACTTCACAGTTATTGACTTCTGAAGTTGGACTTCAGAAAGTTACTGTCTCTTTACCTTGCTGCTATCAGCCAATTGTGAGGAATTTTTTTTTTTTTTAATGTTTGGGACAATACTAGTTAGAGCTACGGATGGGCCCAGAGCTGGTTCTAGGTAGGGATGGGTGAGCAGAAGTAGCAGCCGGGAGGTGCTGCCCAGCTTTTTCTTTCTCAACTATTTGGGGCAGGGGATAAGAGGGGCATGTTCAAAACATTTTCTGCCCTAGCCTGCAAAATGGCTAGAGACGTTCCTAGATTGGCCTTAATTGCAAAGTTCAGATTTGGATCCAGGGCTTAACAAATTCCAAATTACAGGTGCATGATAATAATAAGTAATAATGGAATACATCACACATTATACCCTGAGATCTAAAAGCACATCACAAACATTAATTAATTAAGCTTCACAACACCACTTCAATGCAGGCAACTATCATCTACATTTTACAAATGGGAAGACTGAGACGCTGAAAAATTAAATGACTTCCTGACGGTCACACGTGGAATCAATGGCAGAGCTGGAGTGAGAACTCAGGTCCACTGATTCTCAGTCCCTTGCTCCAACTACTAGGCAAAATTGCCTCTTACACGTCTTTGAAATTAGTGCTCGGAAAGTCAATTAAATACAGAAACTTACTAGAGGTCAGATGTTGGCTGCCCCTGAATGTGTGCATAAGGGAGCTGGAGGACACAGATACACCTGTACAGCTGAATTAGAGGGCAATCGGTTTCCCTGTGCTTGTCCTCCTTGGACTTGATCCAAAGCCTATTGAAAGCAGTGGAAAGATTCCCACTGACTTATGCACCCTTTGGCTTAGTTCCCTTGGCTGCCAGGTTCTGGGGAGCCATATTGTTGGCCAATCCCCTAAAGGGGCACAGTAAGAGTGTGTCAAGGATGCTGGCCCTCTGTACGCTGGCTGGTGGTCAGAAGCTGGCTCTAAGGGGAAAACAGGCTCACCTTGTTAGTGTGCTCTCTCTGCAGATTTGCCCATAGGCAGCGTGGTCTCGTTTAAAAGCTAAGAACTGTGCCTAAGTAAACTATACAGATTGCATCGTTAACAGCCTGGCTGGGATGATTTAGTTGGTGTTGGTCCTGCTTTGAGCAGGGGGTTGGACTAGATGACCGCCTGAGGTCTCTTCCAACCCTAATACATCTCTACCCTGTTATAGCGCAACCCGATATAACACTAATTCGGATATAACGTGGTAAAGTAGCCCTCCCGGGGGGCGGGGCTGCGCACTTCGGCGGATCAAATCACGTTCGATATAACACGATTTTACCTATAATGCAGTAAGATTTTTTTGGCTCCCGAGGACAGCGTTATATCGAGGTAGAGGTGTATTTTATGATTCTAATATTTTTTCATGGCATCTTGGGCCTGGAATTGGCATCCTTTTAAAATATATTTTAAATTGAAATAAATTTCTGACCACACCCATTTATAACACACTTTGATTTTTTTACATACTATGCAAACGGGCCCTGATAAGGTCTCATGGGATTATAATATGGGGAAAGACACTTTATCCAACACTTTCCTATATCAACCCAACCATATTTGTCAGCCATTCCTTTCTCCCTAACCATTACTGGCATATAACAGCACTCCTGGTTCACCAACCCAACCATCAGAAATCTTTTCTGCTGGGTGATGTAACATGCCATCTACTTTAACTCGATGCTTTGACCCCTTTTATTGTTCTCTCTCTTTCCCTCCGCTCCGTTCTTCGTTTTGAATTCACCTTTTAGCTGATGCTGGATGTTATTATAACATAACCCAACTTAAATAATGTAATTTTCAAGATGAGTATGTCATACTGGGTACAATGCACTTAAGATTCAAATACACTTTTTTTTATTGTGACTGTATCACACTTGAAAGTAACATCATTTATCTTTACAAATATTCATCCACACATACATATAGAATCTAATATATAAGTATTATAATGCTTACCATTCAGTCCCTTGTGAGTATTCATTCCTCAAGTTTTGCATCATTTTTATTACCAGGAAGAAAACCCAATAGGGCTGGACAGAAAAGCTACAGTTGAGCTGAAGAGCTAACCATAAATGAACAAAAATCTCACTCCTCAAGGCATATCTGAGAGAGAAATGCTGAGAATGCAGGTTGTTTTTTTTTTTTAAATCTTAGTAAAACTTTTACCATTGGCAATTTAAATACATTTTGCTGAGAATCAATACACAGCTTCCGTGATCATCAATAGGATACTAAACTCCAACATTTATATGTTTTAATATATTTTTTTCAGTAATGATCTAAAGGAGGGGCTATATTTAAAGACACAGATAAGTTTGGGGATGAAATCAATTCTTCATTTCATATTCTGCGATGCTGTCAACAGAGAGCATTGTGAGCTCAGGGTAAGAATCAATTGCAAAATATATAGCTGTGCAACACTTTTTATCAATGATTTGAATAACTTTACTGTGGCTGCCTGAAATAAAAAATAATTTGTTGGGAAGGCAAGGGAGAGAAAGAAAGAGTGAGAAATTAATGTCTTAAAATTAGGTTTCCTCTAGCTTTAATTCCAGATGCCTTTAAATATTGGTCCTTGCCCTTCCCAAAGTTACTTCTATCCACTATTTTCATGAGCTTGCTGTAAACTGCCAGTTTTCCGGTGTTAATTATTAATATGACCTGTTTATGTACTAGTTATCCAGCTAACCATTAATGTCTGTTTACTCATTGATGACCTTTGCAACTGCGTACCAGTCTCTTGGCCTGTAAATGTCAACATTTTTTTAAATAATCGAAATGCTCTTCATATCTTATGACTATCTAACCAACCCCTTAAAGATTTTTTTATTTAATGGAAAAACAAAATGTAAATACTGTCATTTTTCAAGGATTACAAATCACCGAATTTTAAGCGAAGGGAGTTTAAGCCAAAAGGTCCATGTGAGAAAATCCAGAAGAAATAATTTCACTATAAAGTTCTCTCTCTTTTGTACTAAAAACCAAAACCCACCCAACCAGCACTAAAGGACCGGGACCTAGTTCTGGGGAATGGAACACATTTTTCTCAAAATTTCATTAAGCACTTCCACATTCAAATAAGTCTGCAGGATTTATCTCTAGTTAGGCAGTCAGTATACATTAACCCTGACACTGGCAAGACATTTCTAATCCACACGCTCTCCTCCTAATGGCTAAAATTTAGATTAGGCAATACAGCTGGATTAAGGCAGCAAAGGGTGACCTTAATTTTACCCATCACTGCAAACTGTGTATCTTTGGGTTTTGTTAATTACATTAGCCTAATTTAAACAGACAATCAGAAGCCCAGTTAAAAACAAAAAGGAAAGCATTCCCCCCCTAGAAATGTTGTGTATGATGGTCTCTCCCTAGCTGTTAGCGAGATTATAGAAGCAGGCAGCTTTTTTCTTCTTTGGTCAACTAACATCCTTGACTAGGAAAAGCCCCATTGAAATATTATCTTTGCAATAACATTTACAATTTGTAGGTTTGAAACCGGCTTTTTACTGAAATATTTTCAAATATTAACATCTTCTTGTCCATAAGTAAGAGTGGTGGCATTTACAGAGATTACAGTTTTGAGATATGTCGTGCGGGTATGTTCACATTTTCTCGTCCATTGAGTTCTAACTTCAATAACATTTGGGGGGTTTTATGAGCTACAACCCTGAATGCTTACTGAGTCTGTCATTTCATGTTGAATTTATCATATAGAAAGTAAACTGTGGAGCAAGCTGTCAGAAGTCACTGTATCTGCAGTCTTTGAGGATTTGGATTGGGACTGGGTGGGAGGTAAACTTTCTAGATCTCCGCTCTGAGCTGCATAGACCATATTGTTTTTGTGAAGGAATTTGGCTGGGCAGTAACACATTTCCTTCAAACAATATGCTTCTGTACAGGATGGTTATACAGTACTTCGAGCATATAAATGCTTCTCAGGTTTTCAGTACTGAATGATAACTCACCTTGTCTTTCTCAGTGAGGTAGGTAATAAATAGAAATCTGGACTAGAAGTGAGACATTCTGACTTAGTTAAATCTTTTGGTGTCCTGAAAAAGACAAGTAGACTCAATTACTATGCCAGCAACTATATAAAGATTGTCAAATTAAATATAAAAACTTATGTTTAAATAATGGTATGACAAAACCCAAGACAAAAGAGGAAAATCAAAGCTATGCTGACATTGTGACCTGAAATCACCGTGCTGTGGGGGGGGGGAAAAAAAAAAGATGTCCTCTAAAATGTGTATTATTGTCCTGAACTTCTAGAATAGAGATTGAGAGGCTAGACTTGGGTAAACCCATATTAACCTAGACACTCAAACAACTGGCTATTAAGGCATTAATTCATGCTGTGTTCCCACTATACTACAACCGCTTCTTTTTGAAACAATTCCACAGTTCATTTGCCTAATATGTATGCATAAAAGGTAATAATACTAATACCTTACACTTTCAATAAGCACCCTTAATTAAGCCTCCAAAAATTCCTATGAGGTTAGATAGGTGATATATTGATATCGCTTCACACACCACTGCAATGTTTCAAACACAACAGTGGTTTAATAATGCACAGTAACACTACACAACAGGACTGCAACTGACGAAGCTTTCCACATCCAGCTGAAACTTCAGGGAGAATTTAGGTAGAATGTAATTATTTGTACTGGCGCTTCTCCAGGATATTGGGTTAACTCCATGTTTCTTACAAACCATACTATGGGACCTTTAATAAACCTAAATGGTAAGGACTTTAAAAAAAATATCTCATTTGAAAGACCTTACCTCAGCATCCTTTACTATCATGCTAGGGAATTCAGTGCTGACTCAGAGGAGAATTCATAAACTAGAATATCCAGCACCATTTCCTGCAGCAACTAGGTCTTCCTTGTAGGTCTCCTATCTAAGACTGACCTAGCTTGACATACTTTAGTTTGTGAAACAAGGGCCATGGCTCATATGTAATATTCCTCTGGGAAGCGGTGTTCTAGCTTCATCTACTTTCACATATGAATCAATGATATATTTAATCAATTTTTAAAATGCATACTATCTACATGAAGCTGTTTGTTTACCCTCTAACTATATAACCAGGCTCTATAGATCAGAGTCTCCTTTAAAAATTGTTTAAAAAAACACAGATTCTTATTTGATAGACTGGAACAGCTCTGTTTGCTTCATAGGTAGCCGGACAGTTATTTTCCACTATAAAGAATATAATATTTACCCAATGGACCAGAAAAACTCCTTCACTCACCCCATTATGCCAACATATTTAAATACATCGAAGGCCAGGTTTTGCTTGCCTTACTCATTTTGCAGCCAGTGGGACTATTTGTGCAAGTAAAGTGATCAGGAGTTAGCCCATATATCCCACCAACTTCTAAGACTCGTTTATAGATTTACGTATAATAGCCTGAGGTGAGGACTTTGGGCAGACTTAGAGCTTCCATGATTATTTTTTTTATTTGTCTTGTGTCCTTCAGCTCTTCTGTCTCCTTCAATGGGAGAGTGGATTATTCAGCACTGTATTCTGTGCTGTGCAGGTAGGAGATGTCTTAAATATCTATATGCTGATGGGGTGAGTGGTTAGAGCATGTTTTTTGTTACATATACAAAAGACCAGGAGTAATTTCCATGATCATTATGTTCCTGCAGGTCTCTCTCTCTCTCTCTGTGTGTGTGTGTGTGTGTGTGTGTGTGTGTGTGTGTATAGTTCCTGGGGAAAAAAATAGTATAATTGCAGAAAACAGGAGTATGAATTCTTACCTCTGGATGTACACTATCCTTTTGTTAATTTGTTGAGTGCCAACGACGTGCTTGATGCCACATGGACCACAGAGGAGATACGTGTTCATATGATGTGAGAGAGCCCCTCAGCACGTAACCTGTAACAATTTAGACTCCTTAAAACTCCCTGGGCCTAATTTTCTCCTTCAGGACATGAGTAACACCCATTGGCAGCATACCAGTATCTGCCATTTATGTGAAAGGATGGAGTCCCCTGACACTAAATTACTCCCATTTATGACATGTATCTTAGACCTCCTTTCACACCATTTGTGTACTTCACCGATTATCTCTCTCCCAGGAGTGTACTGCCTTGGAAATCCCATATTTGGCATCATGGGAAACATGGTTCATCTTTCTGTTTAGTTCTCTTTGTATCTTCTGTTTATAATATGTACAGAGATTCAGAGCCTGAAATTTAAACACTGTAGCGATGAACACAATGTATGTTTGACCCATTGTAGTGTTTCCATGAATAAGAAATGGGGTCCTTCCAGGCAGGCTCTACTGTTTTTGCCGCCCCAAGCAACGTGCCGAATTGCTGCCGTAGACAGCGGGGGCAGTCCGTGCGCCATTAGGGCGGCACATGTGTTTCCACGGCGGCAGCAATTTGGTGGCAGCTTCTATGTTCAGCTGCCCGCGGTGGCAATTCGGCGGCAGCTTCTGTCTTGAAGCTGCCGCTGAATTGCTGCCGCCGTGGAAATGCGTGTGCCGCCCTAACGGCGCACGGACTGCCCCCGCCGTCCTGGGCGAGAATTTGGCGCACTGCTTGGGGGCAAAAACACACGGACTGCCGCCCCTTGCAGATTGCCGCCCCAAGCACCTGCTTGGAAGGCTGGTGCCTGGAGCCGGCCCTGGGTCCTTCAGATGTCCTTCCTTCCTACTTTATCTCTTTGTCATCTCTCCCGCACAGACTCTCCTCTGTAGCTTGGATGTACATATGGTTCTCTGGTCATTTAGAGTGACCACACCAGGATCACCAATCATAGAAGTTAAGGTGGAGGAAACTATGGCTCACCAAAAGCATTCCCCAGTTATTGGGGTTCATTTATCATTTGGATTCAAAATGTTTGATCAAGAATCTGACTGTGTTATGGGTAAAGTATTGTAGTGTCTGATGGTGGGGAAACTGCTGCTTTAAATCTAAGGAGGTTGCTTGTTCTTCTGATAATCCTTCTGATAACCCACTCTGTGGTTCCTCCCAGAGTCCCACCCTTTCAGAGGCAGCATACCTTAGGCACATATTTAACCTACCAATCAGTGTGCCATCCCCAGCTCCTGATGTGCAGTTCTGTTCAATTCCAACACAAGGATGGGCCATGACAAACACTAAATTCCCCAATTATCCTACTCTGATCTCTTCTCCCAGAAAACTTGTTCTAACCCAATTTTAGTCTCAAGGGGTTTGTATATAGAGAAATAAACTTTCATTGCAAAGTTTGGACCTGGGTCTGAAATTTCCACAAGGTCCAGAGCTGGTGTCAGCTCAAACTGGGTTCTATCTGGATAAATAGCTGAACTGGTGGGTGCTTCTCTGAACAGGACCTTTGAACCAACTGAGGTTCATCCATCACTACTTCAAATAAGAGAGAGAGTCCCTTTTAATTTAAATTGTGTGGGCATCTGAGTTACACTCCATGCAACTGAATAAAGCAGAGCAGAATTCTGCTTGTCACTGTCTATGCTGGACCCTTTTATAGAGCATTTGTACCTGTTTGCATTCTCTTGAGCTGAACTGACTTAAAGATCCTAAAGGGAAGATAAATTGGGGAGATTTAAAACACAAAGGGCCCA